AAAGGCATTTATTGTGTTTTTGAGGTTTCACACTCTGAAAAGTGGGCTAAGTTCCTTAGAGGACCTAGCATTTCAGTAAGGCAAGACAGGCAGTTTTATGGAGTAAATAATGGTGATTACACAACAGAAATTATGAATATGCATTATAGAATATATGAATATTAAAAGGCATGAGGGGTTAGTCAAGGGATTAGGCAAAAGGGGAAGGGTCCCAGTCTTGGTGGAATTGCACATGCAATTACCCACAATACATACAGAAAAACCCATTTGGGGGAAATTACTATATGACAATGAAATTACAATATGTCTCTCTACCTCATAAGTTCACTTTAGGACAGTTCTTTGCTATTGCTGCACAGGAACCAACTTAGGAAAAGTCCATCCTATGGTTTAGTGGTCAAGAATCCTGGTTAGCATCCTTGTGGTGCTGCTTTCTGATTGGCTGGCTATTGTGGTCCTGTCTGGGGAAAATGGATGGCTAGATATTTTAGCCCTGTCTGAGATTAGATGGATATGGTCATGCAATGCCAACTATTCAGTGAGGGCAAATGAGGAAGTTAGAATATTGAGTCTGGGGTCAGCAGCTAGCTAGGGACAGTGGCTAGGATTCCATCACTGCCATTCCCAGGGTTCCTACACCTATTTGATGGTAGCAGTTGGTCAACACTTGTTGCTTTTTTCTTACCTATCTACACATATCCTATGACCTAGTGACACTATCTTCCTTGTTCTTCAAACATGACACTCCAACTGACCCAGGTTCAAATCTTGGCTCTGTCGCTGTTTATGAGACCTTGGGCAAGTTATTTTTCCCCTCTGTGCCTGTCTTATATGCGAAAAGAAGGAGTTGTACTATGTGACCTCTATGTTGCTTTCCAACTCTCAATCTACGACCTTTTAAATAAAGCTATGGGACATCCAAAGGGAAATGGGAGAGGTGCACAGGGGACATGAGTTGGCAGCTACATATTAATAACAGAGAACTTCACAGGAAAAGCAGGATAGATTTCATCTTGTTATCCAGTCAGTCAACAAACATTTTAATAAAGCACTTAGTAGCACTTATTCTATGTTCCAGAACTATGCTAAGTACTGTTTTATCCATCATATCTCATTTGATCCTCATAACTACCCTAGGAGATAAATGCTATTATTATCCCTCCACTGTGGCATCCCTTCTAGGGCCATTAACACTTATGAATTGTATTCTCAGGAGGGTTGATTACTCTCAAGATTCCACAGGTTACCCTGTGGGGCTACATTCTTCTTTTTAAAAATTTTCTTTTTAATTTATGGAATAAAACAATCATTTCCATAACATAGTACAGTAAAAAGATGATTATACATGAAACTGCAAATCTACTATGCAAAACCTGCTTCTAACAAGCCCTCACCGGTGTGTTTCCCATTAACAATCATCCAGTAGACTTAATTAGTTTTTAGAAGAGTCCTTTACTCAATCGGCGTAATAATATCAGTTGGTACTAAAGAGTCCTTTCTCTCTGCCCCTGTTTATAAAAATCTCATAAATACAAGCAATGTCCAAAGGGAAGAGTGGGCTCAAACTTAGAGTACAATGTTAGTGAGGCATATGTATGTAGTATGTACCAGAACAGAATCAGTGATGTTCTGGTACATGTTTAACAACTGGATCTTAAAAACAAAATATATGTACTACACAATTTTAAGTTTAGTTTTGCACTATTAACATTCTCTTCATCACTTTCTTAAGTCTAGACAATCAGCAAAACAACAAATCAAGCCTTGATTTATGTCATTCATCAATTTCCTGATGTGTAAAGGCTCACTGTAAAAATTTTAAAATAAAATCTCATGAGCCAGTACAAATTCGTTCCAGCATATTCCTGGAAACAATGTGGCAAAGCGGCAGTTTTTAAGTCCTAATATTAGAAATCCTTTTTTCCCTTCATAGAGTCTTTATGCAACTCATTCTCCTTATGCTCCAGAGCCTTGACGTTTTACCCTTTCCTAAGCTCTTCCATCGTTCCTGGATGGGGTGCATCAATTTGCTCCTTTTAGATCCCACTCACCATTCTTGTAACTTTCTAAACCAAAGTAACCCTCCCAGACATCACTGCATCATGTGTATTGTCTTTCCCATTTAAATATAAGCCTCTTAAATTCTTTGTCTTTTAAAATTGAATCCCTGGGATTTAGCACTGTGCTTGGCATGCAGTAAGTGTTTGATAACTGCTTTTTTCATTCATTCTTTTCCCATTTCACAAATTAGAATACTGAGTCCTTGAGAGAAGCTAAATGACTGGCTTGGATCGTACAGCTAGCTAGTTGAAGTTATATATGTCCACTATTTTACTCAACTATTCTGGTGAAAATCTCTTTTCAGACATACAGTAAGGCATCTATGGTAGGCAGCATTACTCTCTCCCTTGAACTCAAGAATGAGGATGTATTAAGAATTGTCAGGTGGATGTGAGCTGACCTTTAGTTTACTTTTAAAACTAGTCAAAACAGTGGCTTGTGCTATTCACAGAATCACCATTGAATCTAGTGAAGTCACAGTGAATGTGACAAAGAAAATGCCTTAATAAAATTCATTACCCCATGCAGGCATTTAAGGCTGGATTGATTTTCCCTATATTGTAAGGGTTTTCTTGTAAGGATCCCACTGCTGGCCCAAAGAATTTGGGCCAGAGAACTCCTAGGAGACTACAATTTTCCTGGGCTTGCCTGGTCCATTCTAAAAAGAAATGAGGACTCTGGATGTATCTAATACCGTTCTAGGCCGATATTTAAATATCTGGATCATCCCAGCTTGTTCTGGGTACCTTCTGAACAACCACAAGTGGAAATAGGACTACAATATGACTTTCTTTACGTAGGGACAGTTTTACGCAAAACTGAAGCAGACTAAGTTTATTCTTGGAATCCTCACATCTCTCAGTGTCTTCATGCTGCCTCTTGGGCACCCAGAGCTCTCCAATATGGTGCTTCACCCCAAATGGCTGTCCTTAGGCAGTGTCACAAATTACCTCTCCATCCTCATTTCCTTCCCCCTCAGATCTCATATTATCATCATACTTCATCTCAGCTAGTCCTTAGGAACAAAACACCTGATAAAATGAATTCACTCTGTGTGACCTGGTAGCCAGCTCAATTTAGTAATACCACTCTCAAGAAGTTGTTTTCTTAGAAGAGGTAGCTTTTTAGCCTAAATGAATGTTTTTCAACCCATGGGGATCTCACATGGGTCCAAGAAGTTATTGCTAGAATTCTTTAAATGTATGGGTATACCCATCATCACCATTTTATCAACATTTTTATATTATCAATACTTTGTTTCTAATAGGGGAAAAATATTCTGCCCTTTTGGAATGAAATATGAACTTTTGTGGTATTGTGAATAATAAGATACAATTGTGTTTAAAATTCTTCACAATTCATATTGCCTTTCTGTCATTCTATTCTTTTCCCAATCAATGGATACCACTAATCAAACTATGATCATGGGAGGTCTGTGAAAGTTTTTGGTGTCATAAAGGGACCTCCCTATTTAAAAAAGAGTTAGAAATCACTGGCCTTAGGGGTTGAATATCTAATGGTGGTATCTCAGGCAATGTGAGTGACTGATAACAATGTTAGGCAGAAGGCTGGGCTCAGTGGGGTGCTGATAAATATTTAACAACCAGTTTCCTGGAGGTATGACACATTTTAAAATTCAATCTGATTTCTTAACATTTTCTCTATCACTTTCTCAAGTCTGAACAATGAACGAAACAATAAGTCAAGTACTGATTTGTAGCCTTTGCCAATTTTCCAGGTATAAATACTCCCCTTGAAAACTTAACAATCTGCTGTCATTGATTGGTTGGAGCTGCTCCAGTATACCCCTGACTGGGGTCCTCACTTATTGTGTAGGCAACTGCCTATGAGGACATTTCTGTCTGAAGGTATTCAGTGCTTGGTCAGGTACCAAGGCTTATGGTTTGAGGAAATGTGCCTCAGGCACTAGTTGGAGGATACAATGCCAGTGGGCTGAAGTGGAAAACTTTGAGTTCCAGGAAGCAGGTGGATTTTTTTTCCCTGAACACAATTTTAGCTAAGGGCCAAACCTTGCAAAAGGGCAGTGAGATTGGGGGGAGGAAGAGAGGTAGGTGTAGGTTGCCATGGTTTTGCAGCGACAAGGGGTTGCTCCAATGTGATTTTTTTCTTCCTCGTTAAGCATTTGCAAGATTGGATTTAGGACATTTGAGTGGTTATGGTTACCTGTCAAATATGTGACTACTCTAAACCTCCACCATTGAACTCTTCTAAGAAATTATTATTTCAACCTGCAATTTCTCCTGATATATATATGTATATATATATGTATATATATATATGTATATATATATGTGTATATATATATATATATATATATATATATATATATATATATATATATATATACACTATGTGAAAAAGGAATTAGGAAAGCTTTAAAATTAAAAGAAATAGGAAGACAGGTTTTTCCTCCAGCCGTATAAATAGTTATGGATGGAGATAAAGAGATGGATATTTTTTCATAATACCAAGAGCATACTTTATTATGGGTTTTGAAACTCCAGAAATGTTTAAGTCAGGCTGGTGAATAATTCACCGTTGATTTACTTGGGCCCAATGCAGACTCAGGTGGGCTGGGAATAAAGGTGAGTTCCTTGGAGTGACTGAACACAATAACATTCTTTTATTGCCAACTACATCACTGAGTGACTTTCAGAGTTTTTTAAATGAAAAGTCACAGCCTTGACAGTCATCTCTGTATTACCTCTCAACAAGTCAGGTTGCTGGCCCCCTGACTCAGTGGCTGGATGAAAGCATTAAGTGCACTAATGGGATCAACTATGAGATGTAGATTCAAGACCTGAGTGCCTGCCCCCTAAACTACTGGCAATATGCAACCAACCAGTCAAAACTCCAGAAGAGATGCTGGGAGATTTACTCAATACATGATAAACATGATACAGAATGTGATACAGTACCTTTGGTAATCACCCTTTTAATTCTCCCCTCCTCCTCCCAATTCTTTACTTCTGTCTCGAAAGGAAAAACGTGTCCCTCTATCAGGTTTAGAAGAAGTAACTGCCTAAAGGAAAGAGGGAAGGAAGAAACAAATTAATACTTTTTTAAAGTTAGAAATCCACAACAAAAATAATACCCTTACAAATGGGTTTGGATAAACATCATCTAAGTTTATAAGGCAAGTAAAATTATAATTATAGAATCATAGTGAAGGAAAGGGCCTCAGAGACACCAATTCCACATTTTATAGAATGCAATTCAATTAAAATAAATTCAATTACACAAGCATCTATTGAAGTGTCTGCTTAAGAGACCCAGTGGATACAGCTCTGGACCTAGAATCAGGAAGACTTGAGTTCAAGTCCAGCCTCGGACCCTAGCTGTGTGATCTTGGGCAAGTCACTCAGCCCATGCCTGCCTCAGTTTCTACATCTGTAAAAATGGGAATAATAAAAACATCTACTTTGCAGGATTGTTATGAAGATAAAATGAAATAATATTGTAAAAAAGCTATGGAAACCATAGAGCAGTAAATGCTGACTGTGGTCATCACCATCATCACCATTCTTGTTGTTATTGTTATGATGATGATGACGATTTACCACGTGTTGGGCACTATTCTAGATCCTGGGAATACAAAGACAGAACTGAAAGAAATTCTTGTTCTCAGCCAGATTACATTCTATAGGAAAACTGATGAGGGAATTGAAGCCCTGAGGCAGCCCTTGGACCTTTTAGGACTTTTTGGGACTTGTCCCAAATGACACATCTGGTCAGAAGTGGAGTTGGGACTAAAACTGAGGTGTTCTAATCCTCAGTCCAGTATTCTTTCCACCCTACTTCCTACTTGGCTTATTTTCTCTTTGAGCTTTTAATTATTTTTGTTTTTCAGTGCTGAGAATATCACTCGGTGTAAAGCAGTTAGCGTCTATTCCTCTGTAAAACCCTACACAATGAACAGCAATTTGGAATTGGCTTCCATGTGACCGGGCTGTTTCTATGACCTGAGGAAGAGTCCACAGGAACCACATATTTTTCACCTATAAGAAATTCTCTAAAAAAGAATAATTCTGTCCAACAAATGTGCACATCAGTCCCCTCTACTAACTGGTCCTTGTCACACTCAAAGACTCCCTTCTGTGCTGCTTCTTTGGAAAGGCAGGGCAGAATTTTCACTGAGCACTTTGAGCATCTTCTTCCTTGTCATCACATGGTAATTATCTTTTGAATTCGTTTCCTTCCTCTCTACCTAGAATGCACCTGCTGGTCTTCTCTGTTCACTGCCAAGCCACCCAAAGCAACTGAAATCATGCAACATGAAATGCAGCTAAGAGCTAGGGGGAGAAAAACAGGGTGCTGATGGTGGTGGTAGAACTGATGAGACTATAGAACCTCCCTTTTTCCTTTTCTGGATTCAAATGATCTTTTTTCCCCCTTGCTAATTTCCTACCCCAATGCTTTTCTCAATACCAACCCATACTAATTTGATTTTAGAGAATTTTGGAATCATGAAAACATCAAAGGAGACTTTCAGTGGTAGTGTGAGAAGCCTGAGAATTTGGAATGTTCTCAGGATTAAGGAGAGAGAGGTTTGGAGGAAATTTTAGGGCAAAGACATTGACATTTAACCTGCTTTGATATTATTGTGTCTGTGATTTCATCATTTTGGGTATTTCCTGTAGTGATGCAGATTGCAAATAATCCATATCATCAGACCCTGGGCATCTCTCATCTACCTTTTTCCATAAATCCTTCATGGTGATCTTCTTTTAAATCTCTTCATATTGCTTGGATGTGATTCTTTAACAATCAGCTTTCCAGGGAAAAATGCATACATGACAGACATTTTAAGATTAACCTGCATTATTAACATTTTCTTAAGTCTATAGAATCAACACCAAGCCCTGATTTGTAGTTTGCTGATTTCAGAGGTGTAAACAGTCACACTGGAAATTTAATAATTTTCTCCTGAGCAGGTTCAAGTTGGTTCCAGAACAGGCCTGGGAGCACACAAGCTGTCATCTGTTGTCCCTTGATCATACTCTAATGCTTGGAGCACAGGTCTGACACATAATGAGTGTTTAATAAATGCTTGTTGACTTGACTGGCCCCCCACTTTCCTAGTCATACGTATAATTGATGACATTTACACACTGCTTCTTGTACACAAATATTTATTTGTAATGTATAGTAGCTTACTTATTTCTCACTGTGGACATCCTCAGTACCCTGGTACGGTGGATAGAGCACTAGGCTGGAAGTCTGGAAGATTCATCTTCCTGAGTTCAAATCCAGCCTCAGATACTTTCTAGCCATGCAACCCTGGGCAAGTCACTTAACCTTGCTTGCCTCCATTTCTTCATCTGTAAAATGAGCTGGAGAAGGAAATGGCAAATCACTCCAGTAAAAATGCTTCAAGAAAATCCTAAATAGGGTCACGAAGAGTCAGACATGATTGAAAAACATTAAATTTTGCTCCTCAACTTGACCTATTTAGGTAAAATATCTATGAGAAAAAAGGGGGACACGAATTAAAGAAATCAATACTGGCCATTACCATTTTCAAAAGAAGTTTAACTGATTTGAAACATTAGCAGCAACAAGGAGGCAGCTAGGTGGCACAGCGGATGGAGATTAGGGCTTGGACTCTGGAAGCTTTGAGTTCAAATCCTACCTCAGAAATTTATGAAGATGTGTGGGCTTTGGCAAGTCACTTAATGTCTCTGTGCCTCAGTTTCCTCTTCTGTAAATTGAGGGGATGAGAATCGATGGTTTTTCAAATGAGGCTGAAAGGGTCAAGAAGCTATTTCAGGCATCAAACACCTCTATAAGGCATTAATTTCAGGCATTAATGCCCTTCCGTAAGCAAAAAGACACCACAGCCAAGGGAAACCCTGGTTTAGGATATAAAATTATCTGTAAAATCTTATAGAGGATGACAGGGAGAGATTTTAATAATATTTTTTGTACATATATAATTTTGTATTTACTATTTTAAGTTTAAAAATGTCACCTCCAGACAAAGGATATCCTCAGTTTTTCAAGGATTTGTGATCTACAAGTGACCTCGTGAAACCATGCTCTAAATCACTGAAAATAAGGAAATGCAAATTAAGGTGACTGAGGTTTCATTTCATACCATTCAGATGGTCACAAAAAATCGTAGAACCAAAGTTCTTAAAGGGACCTTAGAGACCATGCAGTTCAACTCCCTCATTTTACAAGCTAGGGAAATGAGACTCAGTGAAATGACTTGCTCAAGATCATATGTACACAGGTAGTATATATCAGAGGTAGGATTTGAACCCAGGTCCTCTAATCCAATATTATAGAGACAGACACATCGATTCACTGTGGGCATGCCAGCTCAATAGTCTAACCATTATGGATTTCAATTTGGATTTATGCAACAACAGCAGCAACAAAAAGTTACTGAACTGTCACTACTTTGGTCATTCCAACCTATTACCAGGCATAGCCTAAGGAATCAGAGAGAAAAACAAAGGTCCAAGTACAACAGGATATGCATAGCAACACTCTTTGTAGATGCAAACAAGGCGCAAACAAGACCAAAATCTATGGTATAAGAAAGTCAGAATATTATTGTTCGGTAAGCAGTGGCAAGAGGCAGTGCACAGGTGTCCAACATGGGATTGAACCAGATTAAAATGTAATTGGGAAATATTTTACAAAATAAATAAATATACAACAAAACATAGATAATGTTACTATGTAGTTTTGTAAGTCAACACACAGCCCTCAGGGATCCGTATGTAGAGTTTAGTGGCTCCTGTTTCTATTTGAGTTTGACACAACTGATGTAGTACATGAAGAGCTGGCCTCATAGTCAGGAAGAACTGGGTTGAAGATCCACTTCTGACATATATTGGCTGTGTGACCCTGGGCAAGTCATCTAACTTTTCAGTGCCCAAAGAAATTTTCTAAGACTATAAGTTGCAGAGCAGGGTCCAATTACTATTGACTGAGGGAGTTTCCTCACTGGGAGGTCATTATACCAAGGATGTCACAGCGCATGATCAAAAACAAAACAAAACAAAAAACAAACAAAAAACTAAAGAAGATTCAAAGAAATGGGGAAAGAATTGTGTTAACTGATACAGGGAACAATTAGCAGAACCAAGAGAACAATAAATATGATGACTACCACAAATATCTAAAAAGATTGTCCAAAGGAAGTTAACTCTGAGAAATAGAGAAAAAAACCAAACCCAGCAATGAAGGTCCTGAGAAGGAGATAACAAAATGTACATATTTGTTCATGTTCATAGCAGAGACATGGGAGATTATGAAGACAGAATATTATAAACATTTTTGGATAAAATGTTTGTATTAGATTGATTTTTTTTTATCATAAAATAGCTGATAAAGATAAAAACCCCAATAAAACATTTTTCTAATAAAAATATCACTGGCATTGAATTTTTTTCACAGACCCTCTGTTTTCTTTATGTGGAACCCCAGTATGCCATAGTGTGTCCCATAGTTTAGGCGAACACTCCACTCTGTCACATTTCCTCACTCACTAATTCACTATAGGAAATTCTTTATATTAGCTTCTTCAGGCTGGGGATTGGATTTCTAACAATATAGTAATTATATAAAAAATGTATGTGGCAACCAAAAAGTTTGGATGTCTTATTGAATTTATCATAATGGGATTTGGCCTGCTCCATATTTCCAACTGGGGAAGTAGAAAACATGAGCTGCCTGGTGGGACTGCTAAAAGTAATAGTTTTAGATATGTGATTTTAAAAAAATGTTTTGAGTAACTTGCTGGAAAATGTTATGAAGCCAGAGATGAAGAAATGTGTCAATAAATATATCCCTCTACACCAAAACAATTTACCCTGAATTATTTATATTCATTAGCCAGCCTAAATGTAGTACTATTGAGGTTTGTAAAATCTGTTTATAAGTCAGAAACATTTATCCAAATAAATATTTCTTTACATAGTATTTATTCCCGCCCCCTCAATTCCCCTGAAGAACCGGCCATGTTCAACTAGTTCATTCACTTGGTTACAATGGAATGAGCGGTGAGTT